AAAAAAGGCAAGCAGATAACCATCTTTGTGAAGAAGCATTAACTAAATGAAAATGAAGAAACATAATCCAAAGTAAAAAGTAGTCAAACAGAGCATGAAACCAAATACTGTCTGTGACCAATAAGTTTGTCCTATTTGAAACTGACTTACACCTCATTTTACTCCTGCAAAAGCAAAGATGATCAATGGAGTAGTCTTTTGTGTGAAGTTTATTACACTTCTTTTATCCTTCCTTACACTAAATAAACCAATGATAATTTCAATCAACAGAAGTGTTTGTTTAATGTAAAAATTTTCACAACTAGCCATTTGGGGACAGAGGAAAAAATGGTATTCAAACTTTTTGATGTATTAGACATAGACATGACACCATAAAAGCAGAACAATCTTGTTAAAAATCATAGAGATTCCTACATTGATGCAATTTCTCAAGTGAATAAGTACTCAAGAATTATTCACCAGAAATACAACTGAGAGAACTTTTTGGCGCTTCTCTAACCCAGTGTGATGAATTTCATCACCAGAGTCTGTAAGTTTAGAATTCTTCTTCAGTCTTAACCTAACTCCTCTTCTGCGCAGGCCATATAATGATTCCGCAAAAGAAGCATCTGAGGAAACACAAAATATCAGAGAGTGGTATTACTAAACACCACAAAATATTTAGTTATACAGTTCATCAATGCAACTCTTAGCAGTCAATTTAATTGCAAAGTAGCCAGTCACCACCAAACTATTAGGTTAAATTTTAATCAATGTAAAATTCCGACCCATAAACTCCATATAACTCTCGTTAAATGCTAAAGCTCAATGATTTCATCTTAATTTATCCAATAAATCCTAACAAAATTCACAGTCTAAAATCTCCAATAATGTAAACAAAACAGGGAATTACCTGTGGTACGTAAACTATGAGTTTCCAGAACTAGCATAAGCAAAGCAAAGAATTCATCTTCATAGTCTAAGATTTTATGAATGAAGGGTCGTCTCAAAGCCAATACCTGACATTAAATTTGCGAAATTCATATCAAATATCACCGGGAAAAAAAAACAAGAAAAAAAAGCAGAAAACCTTACAATAGAGTAAAAAGATAAAAAAAATAAAAAAAATAAAAAAAGAACAGAAAATAGACTCGGCTAATTGATGAAGGAAGCATACACCAAATGAGTAAGTTAGGGCGGCACGTAGGCTTGACGGGAGCTGCTGAGCAGCGGACATCTCGAAGAACGTGGGACGCGTCCCTTGTCCTCCCACCTGAAACAACATCTCTCTCTGTCTGTCTTTACCACTCTACAGACAACGCACCCCCTCAATGCTGCGCCGGGAAGAGTTTTCCCCTCCGCCACAGCTCCGTCGCGCCGGGAAGAGTTTTTCCTTTTCTCTATCTGGGACTCAGGTACGGTAATAAAAACGAGTTCTCTATCTTCTTCGCTTTTCCGTCACGATTTCCAATATGTATGCGTTTATTGCATTTTTGTACCCCAGGAAGTTTATGATTTTCCAATTGCCCCAATTAAGAAAAAATAGTTATTTTAAACCCCTAAACTTACTTTCATAATTTCAAATAAAAAATTAATTATTTTAAAAACTGCACTCACTCTACTGAGATAAATTGTTCACTTACTTTCAAGTATCAACTTCAATAAGACTACCGTTTTCTTAGATTCCCATATATGAAAACATAAATTTTAAAGAAAATCGTGTATATCAATCTCAATCTTTGTAGTGCCTTTCACTTTTACCCCAATCTATTTTCTTAATGAGATAATTCTCAAATCTTCATTTATTCACGATCATCTCCCCACATCGAAATTCATCTAAGATGACTATTCAAATCCCGAGTACAGCAATCAATCAAGCACGGTATGTTAGCTATCATTGCAGCAATGTGCATTTCATACTCGACTCCCAAATGAGTGCTAAAAGGCCTAAAACTATGAAGTTAATTATCACTCTGGATGAACTCCACTCGAGCGGTCGTGAGTGATAAAGTTAATATTATAATTATAATTTTTTTTTTTTGATGGGATTCTAAACATGTTCGGTAAAACATTTTATGTTTACAAAGTAATCAAGTATATTTTTCGTAAATTTTGCGAGCCAAAAGAGTGTT